ATTTTGATCTTGAAGAAGAAAATAAGGTAAACAATTCTGAGCTAACTTATAAAGAGTTGCAGGAAATTTTTGAAAGGAATTATTTGAAGAACACAACAATGCTTCAAAAAGCATTTCAGTTTTAAAGAAAATGTTTTTGATAGTACTTTGAAAACCTTGCTTGTGGAGTTTCTCTTGATGACTTGAAAAAAGATAATGACCTATGGGTGAGCAAAATTAAACTTTCTCGAGTTGAAAATAGCACTCTTAAGGAAGAGATTTCAAAAATCAGTACCAAGTTTTCACTTGGTTCAAAAACCTCGCAGCATATTCTCTCGATTCAGATTTCTCACTACAACAAATGTGGTTTAAGGTACGAGGAAAATGATGATGAGAAGAATCCCTTTCCAAAAGTCAAAGAAAAATCGAAACAAAAACCTTTTGTAAATCTTTATAAGAGTCAATATGCAAGACACTTCACAAAATCTACTGGTAAGCAATTTCTTGATTGCTCAATCTGCAATGAATATGGTCATTTCAAACTAGAATGTCCAAAAGAGCAGACGAAGCCCAAAAACATTCACTGGAGATTGGATAGAGTATCAAAGTCTAACAAGAAGGGACCCAAGCCTAAGTGGATACCAACAAAAAGATGAGAGTTCTCTTGTTTGCAGGTGATCTTGAATAAAAACAAGTGGTATCTAAATAATTGTTGTTCACGACATATGATAGGAGACAGCACCAAATTTGAAAGCCTTACTCAATTAGATGGAGGAAATGTCATATTCGGAGGAAAGGATAAAGGAAAGATAATCGGCAAAGGAAACATCAGATTGGGAAATCTGGTCATTGAAGACGTTTCACTTGTCAAAGGTTTGAATCACAATCTTGTAAGCATCAATCAACTATGTGACAAGGGATACAAAATTAGCTTCGAAGAAGGTAGATGCGTTGGCATAAGCCAAGACAAGACACAATCCTTCATAGGCAAACGGCATGGTAATATTTACTAGATGAATGTGATCTTTGTCACAAGAAATTAGGTCACATCAATGTGAAGTAAATTTCCAAGATTGTCAAAAGATCTTGTCCATAGTTTACCAAAAATTAACTATGGCAAGTATGACTCTTGCAATGCATGCACTTTGGGAAAGCAGGTAAGATCTTCTTTCAATTCAATAAAGACTATTGCCATTAACGGATCTTTGTAGCTATTGCACATGGATTTGTTTGGACCAATGAAAACCATAAGTCTTGGAGGAAGAAGATATTACTTGGTGAATGTTGATGACTATTCACGATTCACATGGATGATGTTTTTGTCTTACAAGCATGAAGCATTCCAATCGTTCGTGAAATTTGCTCGAAAGATCCAAAACGAGAAAGGATGATCTTTGCAGTTATTGCACATGGATTTAAATGATGCAATTGAAGAACATAAATCTGAGAATCAAACGTTTAACCAGATTATAGATGGTAAATTGGGACTGAAAAACTCAGGTACAGTAGTTGAAACATCCAAATTACAAAAATTAATCCAACATTGAGCAAACCTGCATTCACTTTTGAGAGCATTTTGAGGATACATCAATGGAGAAAGTAGGAAGCTACTGAAAAATCTCCAAGGTTGACACATTTGATTGAAATGTTGAGGATATCTAGCTCAGGAGTTAGAGCTTACCGGTTTGAATCCCACCAATTGCATATAAAATGCTCTGAGCTATGGTCACCTATGCAGACCAAATATATCGACTTAATCAGTTCATAGGTCTTGCATAATGTTACAGGGGCTTCTAGTGTTGGACAATTTGAAAACTAATGTTGGAATACCTTAGATTATTCTGACGATCACAAAATATTATCAAAGTATTTGAAGAGTTCCCTGAGTGAATGCAGAAAGGATATCGCATAATAAAGATCTTCTATGAGTCTATGCTATCTTGTGTGATATGAACCTATGAAGATACCAAGTGAAGAGATTCACGTGTCAAATATTATAATCACCTCATAACTATTGAAAAGAAAGAAACACACGTTGGGACAACATAATAATAGTGTTGGAAGATCAGAAGTGCAGAAGAAAAATATGCTACATTACTGTTGTAGAAGCTCGTATGTGACAGTTTTCATATATGTAGCGACCTTCTCGAGATGATCCTCATGAGGGCTACCACATCACTAAGCTGGTGCAACTAATCCTCTCGCGAGGTGGCACCAACGCGTCGCATAGACTCTCCCAAGGTTTATTGATCTCAATCTTAATTTTTCTCATTCATTTACGATTATTTTTGCTACTCTACTATTTACGAGGCTGGTCGGGAGCCGGTAAAGCACAGGAGATCGCTCCTTTACGAACCAAAGAATTGGCCTCGTGCAATGGGTTACATTAGATTGAAATACCACTGTGAATTAACTCACCGTTTCCAAATCCATGTCATCGCTTATAGTTGATTCCGGCCAGAAATAGGGGTCACAAAAAAGAGCCGCCCAAACCGAAATCTGAACCAAATCGAATAAATTTTTTTGGGTCTTTTCGGAGTGGGACTCCTTTTATGTTTGGGTGGTATGTAAAATAATGGGCCTCTAATAGTTCGGTTCAATTTTAGGTCGTAAACCCGAACTGATCAGAAACACGTTATTGAACTTGTTTCGAAACCAAAACAATCATGGTAAACAGTAGTTACGAAACACCAAACACAAAAAATATATAATTGATAAACCCGAATCGTTTTTTGGTCTGGGTTCCATGAGAGTCGCGTCTCAGATCGGGTCATGAAAAACACATAACCTTTATGCCCTGGTCGGGTCGGGTGTCAACGGGGACCCAAACCGAAACGGTCCATTGACATCTCAACACAAAACAACCCAAATTTTGCCTGATACACCAAGTAGAATCGTCAAATAAGTCTATCTTGCAGTTGACAAAAAGATTGATGGTCTAGTATAAAAGGATCAAGAAATAAGTAAGCAATAGATGGAAAGTTTTGTATGTAAGCCAAGAACTTGCATAAAGTATAGATTCCGGTCGCATTTTAGAGTATGCATATGCTAATTGACATGTGTTTTATTTGACGGTGAACTTAGAAGAATCTACACACCACTAGTTGTTTAATACTGATTGAACAACCTCATTAATTGATTGATTAAATGATAATCTTGGCTCTCCTACTATTCTTTAGCTCCATTTCATTGTATTCACATTTGAAAGAAGATTATACATACTTGTTTTGAGATTTCTATTTTGGCTTTTGCGTGTGTGGGGAGTTTAAAAGACTTCTGGATTCCTTAGCATTCGGCAATTAAAAGTCCCAAGATCATTAATTAACAAAACTCAAGTTTAAATGTCGGATTTAGACATTTGTAAAACATATACTATATAAGATTTGAATATATGTTAAAAATAATAGTTAATTGACCTCATTAATGAGGTGGAGCCAATTTTGTAATTTTTAGATTTATGGTAGGCTTGGATTGATGGATCAACCATGACAAGTTGATTGATTGAATGTGATTTTACACAAACATCCGCAGAAAACTCTTATAGATTTAAGTAATTAGCCAAGCAGATTATGCAACTCTCTATGGTTAGGCCTGGACAGCATGGCCTGTGGGAGTATATGGTTTATTGCAAATAATTATTCACTTGACAAAGCATATTTACGAGGTGGATAGCCGACAAGCACTTGTAATCTACCCACCCTAATTAAATCGAATCTCAGAAAAGTAATTCATAATTCCAACAACCTTAATTAATCGATAGGACAGTTTTGTCAGCCTTTTTGCATTACCCAAATTCCCAAAATAGCCTAACATGTAGTAAATTTTCTCAAAATTTCCTTTATGAAATGCAGCTTTCACCGTCGAGCTCCTATCCTTTCGATCGATGCAATCAAAATCTTCAACATTTTACTAATTAGTTCAAACCGAGTTTTAACCCTTTGGATTTGTGCAAGTTATAAACATTTGAGAGAAGTTACAATGAAGTCGCAAAACCTTTATCGGAAGTGCAATTCAGCTGTGCAATGTGGGCAATTTCCTGTCATTTAAGCAAGTTCATATATTGTTGACTCCACCAGCAGACTTAGAAGGTTAGTAGTGCCCCCGCATCCTAAGTTCCAATTTTTGTAAATGTCGGTTAAGCATAAAAAATTTCAAAACTGTATTTAAAATTCTTGGTCCACCAATATACACTGGATGGATATTATGTCTGTTATGAAAAGGTTTAGGATTCAATTGTGTTCTATTATGGACTTTTAGTGAAATTTTTGTAAGAATAATTGTGACCCACATGATATTATTGATTAATTGTTTAATAACTATTTAAATGTTAAAACGTAGTGGTTATGAAGAGATGCAACTCTTATGAAAAGGTGCAATTCTTATGAGAAGTTATCGTTCTTATGAAGAGATGCAACTATTATAAAGAGGTGCAATTCTTATGAGAAGTTACCGTTCTTATGAAAAGATGTGACTCTTATAAGGATTAGAATGTACTTTGATGGAAGGCACCTATTGATAGCCTCTATAAATAGAGTTTGGTCCTCTCTCCACCCAAGACAATGAAAGGTTATATTTTATCCTCCATAAGATAACATACGTAAAACAAAAAGTAGGTTAAGGGAGAGAAATCGGATATCTTTATTTCTCCTATTTCTACAACAATCATTTTCAAGGTTATTGCTATGATAAAGGTATATCTTCATTTCTCTTATTGTGAAAATTCATAAAGATCTAAGATTCTTTAATTCAAAATTTTCTGCATAAAGAATTACGTTATCTCTTATCCTTTTCTCCAACAACTTAGTTCTCTCCCTATTCAATAGCTTATTTTATCTTATTATTTGTTGACGATATGCTTGAAGAGGATTTGTTTTGATTAGTCGTGCAATGAAGAAAGGAATGTCTCTATATCAAACAAAATAAAAAATATAAACAAAAAGAAAGGAATACTTTTATATATGCTTAAATTTAAAGCTACTTTAGCATCTCTTATAATTCTTCTAAATGGTTCTTTTTTCATTCTCTCCAATATGTGATGTTCTTCATTTCACCGATGAAACATTCCTCTTTCCTTCCTTCTTTAACCCTTGGAAGAACCATCTCCTTTCTCCAATACAGACAATCACAATGAAAGATCAAACAGGTAATCCTTAATCCCTTTCACTAGTTAGAATTACTTCCTTTTTAAAAAAATTTTATTTCGTTCTTGTTTTATCCTGTATATGTAGAATTGTCATTATCTAGAATTTGTTCAATCATGTGACAAGCAAAACCAGTAAAACAATAAGATAATTTGAATTGTTTTTCCTTATTCCTTCAAATAATTTTCATGAAAGATTGGTAGACGTAAATCAGTCATTCTTAGGATGAAAAATATTGGTAATTATGTTATTAGAGTGTTGTGTGTTGGCTTAGCAAATAACAGGATAGAATATAGCTATATTGTCGCTAAGGCTCCGTTTCTTTTGTGAAAAATGAATTATTTGAGAAACATTTTCCTAAATGATCGCGTGTATTCCTTATAAAAATGAATAAATGAAAAATATTTTTATTATTTATGAAAATATTTAGTTGTCAACAATGAAAATGTTTTCCATTGACTAATATATATATACATATAGGCTAACAATTTTGTTAAGTAGTCTTACTATATTCATCACTAACTTTGTATAAATATTTCTTACTAAATTGGATGTGGGTCTTATCAATATCTCACTAGTCACTTTTGTAACAGGCAAATCATGCTCTTGTCCTTCCTTAAAATATTTATCCTACAAAGTGGGAAACATACTTTGCCATCGTACTTCAAAAATTAGGTACAAGAGATTGGACACGAAGCTTGAAAAGAAGGTGCTCGAAGTGAAGAACACACCATCATCAAGGCATAACAAGTTCCAAACAATCAATAGCATCATCATGAAGTTTCCTCAATTCAAAGAGGGATTGAAGAATATTAAGGCCATTTTCCAGCAATACGGTGAGTTTTAACAATTTTGTTATTACAAGAGTACATGCACAAGCGATCCGTATTTGTGTTCAAATTTAGTTGTGTTATCTTAATTATCAGTAAAAAAATAATTATTTTATATCTAATTCTTTGTTGGTTTGCTAAGAAACCCACAATTTAGTTCATTATGTTCTATTTCTCTTAACTTATTCGGTAAAAATAATAAAATCCATGTTGTATAATATACACTTGTATTAAGATTTATACTTCAGTTAGATTATAATTAGATGATATTGAATTTATTAATTTTTCAGGGTTGTCAATGAGATAGTGAATGATGATGGCATTATCTAAACTTAAGAGCGATTAGATTTCGAAATAAGTTAAATTTAATACTTGTAACAAATTATATAACTAATCTTTTGTTATATCTGTATGTGTATAATCATTAATAACTATGAGTAATTAGTATATATTGCAATATCCTCTCACCTATGTAGATATAAATTATGTTGCAATATTATTATTAAATGTGAATGCAATAAATATTGCAACAACAGACTCCCTCATTTCTTCTTTTCATTGCAGATGAGGACTCAAACGGGGCAATTGACAAAGAGGAATTAAAGAAATGTTTGGAGGAAGTGCAGCTTCATCTCTCCGAAAAGGATGTGGAGGACTTGTTTCATTCTTGCGACATTGATGAGAACCAAGAAATACAATTCACAGAATTTATCGTTCTTTTATGCCTCATCTATCTCTTGAAAGAAGCTGCATCAACTGATGAGGTAATTATATCTCTAATCTAATCTACTTGAAAGTTCAAAGGTTAACAATAAACCATTTTAATATTGTATTAAGCACTATGACATGATTTTCCAGACGGAAAAGATAGGGTCACCTTCAGTAGAAGCAACTTTTGATACGATCATTGAAGCCTTCTTGTTTCTGGATAAAGATGGCGATGGGAAGTTGAAGAAGAAAGACGTGTTCAAAGCACTGAACGAGGCTTCACCGAGGGAGAGATCTCCTCGGCACGTTAACAGGAAACGATTTAGTACAAACCTCAAAACCCTAGTTATAATGCAAATATTGCGATAGGATTGGTTTTCGAGATTATAGTTGACATCGTTCTATTTTTTCAATGAGTGCAGAGGAGATGGATTGGGGTAGAAAAGGAAACGTTACCTTTAGAGAGTTCCTTTTTACTTTCATTGATTGGGTTGGTGTGGAAATCGATGACAAAGACGGTAACGGCCTCAGCTCCGGCGACGGCGATGTCTACAGCGATGATCTTCCATCGTGGATACCAGTCGAGAGAAAAGATAGCATGTGACATTCATAAATTTATAAATCAAACGAGACAACATGAAACTATTATACATGTGATTTGAACATGCAAGAAACACAATTGAAATGCTCTGTCTGTATGCAGAATATATACTTGTCCCATCCTTGTTGTTTTGCGCAAAAGTCATATCAACTAGTTGCTTAATCAAAGTACTCAGGTTTGGTTTGAGGAAATATAACTCTCTGGACTCATAGGAGGGATTTGCCTAGACATGTATTCACTTTTTATATGCCATATTGCTCTAATGAGACTCAAAGTATTTATAAAGAAACGTTGCCAGTGTTTTTTTTTTTTTCACAAGAGTCAATAAATTGGCAAAACTGTCAATTTGGGGAAGAAAATGACTTACCAAAAATGGTAAAGTGTATCACCACCTTAATCTACTTGTGTCCGGACATCCGACTTCACCATCAGTAATAAAATTTAGCCTTTTGAAGTGTGATTAATGGCTAGTAAAGCTTATTTTTCTATTAGTTAGACTTACCAAAAATGGTAATGTTGTATTGCGCTTTGGATGCTAAAGAGTTTAACCGAGTATCGACATGTTCTAGTGGAAAAGAAATATGAGAAAACTTGAAGTGATGATTGAAGGAACAAATCAAGTTAAAAGAATCTAAAGTTAGTATGCTAACCCATTCGTGTGAGCTCCTTACTATAAATGACGGTGAGTCGATTGTTGATATGTTTACTCGATTTACAGATATTGTTAATGGTTTGAAATCTCTTGGCAATGTTCATTCTCAAGAAGAGCTTAATCAAAAAATTCTAAAGAGTTTTGCCGGAGGAATGGGAACCTAAGGCGTCGGCCATAGATGAAGACTCAATTGTAAAAAATAATATAAAGAAGAAGAAGTCGTTAGCTCTTGAGGCCAGAGAATTAAAGGAGATTGTTTCACCGAAAACCGTTGATGAAATATCTTTCAAAGTGTAGATGGATGAATGAGTGAATTGACAAAAGTTGTGAATGGTCCTTTATTGAATTTGGATAAGAAAGTAAATGACAAGAGAATTAAAGGCACGAAAATTGGAAGTAGTTAAGGCCAGCCATTTAAATCATAGAAAAGTAAAGATTAAGATAAATCTATGAGAATGTTCAGTTATTTAATTGATTGTGGGATCTTACAAAGAGTATACTTGGGATACTTATAGCCCACAGTCGACGGTTACTAGAAGTTACTATGACTCTAGTACTTGATGGTTACATTACTCCACTACTCAACGGTTACATCGACTCTATTACCTTGATGGTTTCTGATGTTATGTTGACTCATTCGTTCCATAACTAGAATCTATAATACATTAATGGATGAAATGATAGTTGTGCACCTCATTTAAGATACATCGTTCTTGATGCGAAATAGCGACGATCCTCAGCATAAGTACTTCTCCTCTATTGCCCTATGTATTATTAGCTCAATGAGACTGCCCCTGACCAATTATGTTCTGTAACTGCTCCTTCTGTGAAGTAATTTGTGCATCAAAGTTAGAGGAGAGACTTGAGTACTATTTATAGAGCTTTAGCCACAAACTCTCTCATCATAGGTCAGGCTTTACTCGGCCCTCACTAGCCTGTCCCATATTAGCCTAATTAAGAATCTTTATATTTTACTTTATTAGATCAATCCTGTAAAATGGTAAATTACAATCTCAATTAATTTAACCCATATCAGAAAACTCTTACATTTTCCCACTTGGGCTATATTAATTGAAAATTATACTGTATTTGCGCACCTTTGTGTTCATGTAGAGATTATTCTTAACAGTCAATTCGATCCCATAAAACCTCAAATATCGAATCATTGCGGAAATTGCATGAATATACATAGAGCTTACCATGGTCACGAGTGATTTTAACTCTACTAATATGAATTATGTTGGTAGCACAATAGAAGCCCGATACCTTTCGCCTGGGAAGATCACCGAGAGGGAACCCAAAGTTTGAGCTTGTTAACATATCTAGTTGGACCCAATTTCACTCAAAAACTTAAGTCAATGAGTTATAGGTCAATCAGGGTATATTAACTACTCTACACCACACCAATTCTTCGATGTGGGATTTCTTTAACATAACTTACATGTGCATCGTATCAATTTTTCCCTCACATGTGAGCTCTCCCTTAATTCAGGTATCCTTCTGCATCAAGATATGAAGTCTTGCCACCGGGCCCGCATTGTTACACCACAATGCCTACCACATGGAAATTACGCTCAACTTCATCCACCAAACATCAGAATAAACCATCAGCTTGATACCAATTTGTTGAGAGTGCAACAGAAGCCTGATACCTTTCGCCCGGAGAGATCACCAAGAGGGAGTCCAAAGTTTGAGTCTATTAACATATCCGGTTGGACCTATCTTCACTCAAAAGCTACCAATGAGTTATGAGCCTATTAAGATATAGTAACTACTCTATACCACATTAATTATTCGATGTGGGATTCTTTAACACAACTCACTTGTACATTCTGACAGATTCAATATGGTAGTGTAGCAAATTGGATAACACCTCATAGAGAGTGATACCTTATGTGTCATCTCCTTTGTCAGTCCACATTCTCTCTCCTTAAGTGTCACAAAACCCGATGCGTCACTAGAGAATATCCTTATGGTTCCAATGAACCTACATATGTCTTATCCTTAAGGCTAATAATTGAATGCCTCTAGCCTTTACTCAAGGTTTATACAATATCTTAGATTCTCGTAAGATATATATGTATTCAACATGATAATAATACATTCATAAACACTTTATTGAATGCAAAAGAGTTAATATATAACAAAATGTGACAAATACATATATAAACTTTAGTAGAGCAAAAACAAAATAGCCCCCACTAAACAACAGCATCCAATGATGCTCCCAAGCCCATGCGACATATCGTTCAAACACACAAGGGCAAAGGCCTTTAGTTAGTGGATCTGCAACCATATCATTTATGGATATATGCTCTACTGCAATATCACCATTCTGAATTGTTGCCTTTATGGTAAAGAACTTGACTACCATATGCTTAAACCCCTCGAGATCTCTGTTGTTGTTGATAAACAATACTAAGAGTTAATGTCACAATATAACTGTATGGGCTTATCCACAAAATCAAATATGGTTAGCTCTCTAATGAGATTCCGGAGCCAAATAACTTGAGTAGCAGCCGAGCAGCATTGTACAAATTCTTCTTGCATGGTAGAGGATGATATAAACTTTTGTTTCTCGCTTTTCTATGATACTGCACCTCCACTAATATAAAGATGTATCCTATTATCGACTATATGTCATCCCGACGGCCAACAAAGTCTGCATCCAAATACCCTACTAGCTGTAGGTCTTGAACATGTCTTAAATCAGCATATAGCCATTTGTCCTCTTTTAAGTACCTCAAAACCTTATTGGCAGCAACCTAGTGATCGTGTCCTAAATTTAACCGATATTTGCCTAGAAGTCTTATTGCAAAAGCAAAGTCTAATTTGGTGCAAACTTGATCATACATGATACTTTCAAGTGCAATAGCATAAGGTACATCCTTCATTTGAGCTTTCTCAATATCTAAATGAAGACATTGTGAAGACACAGTTTATTACCCTTAATGACAAGAGCAATTCCTAACTTGCAATGCTACATACTAAATCTTTCCAAATTACTATTAATATATGCCCTCTAAGACAAATCCAATACGAGGCGATAACGATCCCTATAGATCTTAATGCCAAGGGTAAAAGACACCTCACCAAAGTCCTTCATGTAGAAATTCTTCGACAACATCCGCTTTGTCTCATATAGTAATCCAAGGTCACTGCTCGCAAGCAATATATCGTCTACATAGAGTATAAGAAAAATAAATTTTCTCCCACTGACCTTGCAATATATACAATGATTCACTTTGTTCTCAGCAAAATCGAATGAAGTGACAACACTATGAAACTTTTAGTACCATTGTCTAGAAGCTTCTTTGAGGCCATAAATTGACTTTTTCAATCTACACACAAGCTTACATGAATCATCTGCTGCAAAGCCTTCGACTTGCACCATATAGACTTCCTCATCAAGGTCTTTATTTAGAAAAGCAGTTTTAACATCCATATGATGTAACTCCATATCAAAATGAGCTACTAATGCCATTATCATTCTGTAATAATCTTTAGAAGAGAGTAGGGAAAATGTTGCTTCATAGTTTACTCCTTCTCTCTAAGTAAAATCCTTAGCTACTGGTCTGGCTTTAAACTTCTTAATATTTTATTTGGAGTCTCATTTAGTCTTATACACCCGTTTGCAACCGATGGACTTGTGACATTCGAGCAATTCAACAAGCTCCCAAACACCATTATGTTTCATATACTACATCTCATCTTTCATCGCATCCAACCACATATTTGACTGAGAACAAGAAACAGCAATTGCATAAGTCACTGGATCAACCACACAGTCGATACCATAGTCATGTTGTCTTAGATAGACTATATAGTTTGGTGGTATAGCTGATCGTCTCTACCTGATGGATGTGGAGCTACTATAACCTCATTTTGCACTTAAGAGCTTGAAGAACTTCATCAGGAGCTACCTCAACAACGTGATCCTAGATCTCGACAGGCTCAATCTGTGGTGTAGAAGGTTCCACAATTGTTTGTATAGGTAAAATAAAAAATATAGTGATACCCACCATACTATTATCCTCAATAGCCTGTGAGCAGCTACCCTCTTCGGCCCATCAAACTCCAGAAACTTCTTTATCTGTGATTCCACAATTCTTGTGCCTCCATTGAGATTAAAACCGATATCCCTTCGAATGATCTGGGTAAGATACAAAGTAACACCGAGTAGTTCTGGAGTGCAACTTACTTAATGTTGAATTATAAAACCTCACTTTTGCAGGACACCCCCAAACCTTAAGACAGTTCAATCTCGGTTTACATCCAGTCCATAACTCAAAAAGAGTTAGTAGAACAGCTTTGGTAGGAATACGGTTTAGAATGTGAAGAGTTGTTTTCAAATCTTCAACCTATAGAAAACCGAGTGAATTGGTCCTAGTAATCATACTCCTCATCATATTCAAAAGGGTGCAATTGCGTGTTTCAACCATATCATTTTGTTCAAGATTCC